TGGTGCTGCAGCTGCTGGTGTGTCCCCTGAGCCCGAGCGCGGTTTGCCTCAGGGGTGCGAAACGCCTTTTGCTCGCGTGCGTCTGCTCCCCTGGCCGAGAAGCTACCTGGCTCCATCGGGGACACCGAAATCTTGCTAAGCAAGGAGAAAACTCGTGCCACTCACCAAGTCTGTCCACGTGTAAAGCGGGATTGTTGTCTTTTTGGCAGCGGCAAACCTCCACGGTATTAAACTCTCCCAAAAATGTGAAAAAATAGCTTTTGTGGCATAAGGGCAGGGAACTATTTCCTGCCGGTTTCTTGATTCTTGGAGCGCTGAAGGTATGCACTGTAAGAGAGCTAGGAAGCGTGGCTTTGTACCCGCAGTTAAATAGCGCTCCATTAGCTTTGGTTTATCTGAGGGCTTGGAGAAGGAAGGTAGCCAGCCACAGGCGCCTGGAAGAACTGTTTCACTGTTCCAAGATTGACAAGTTCTGTCATTCCTTCCTCCCCCACCTCCCAGTACCTGAGATTTGACATAAAATCTGAAGCCCTTCACGATGCACAGATGTAAAGGAATTGGCCGCTGATCCGTTGGGTGTTGGCCTGCTGCGTTCCAGCTTTCGCAGGGCGTGAGCTCCTTGGCCTGAGCCGCTGAAGGCAGCGCAGGGTGCCGACAGAGGACCAGAGCTTCGCGTTAAGGCCCTGCGCCAAGGCTGAGCTGGGGTTTTAGCCCCACCGCTTGAAAGAAATTCCAGCTTGCAAGAGCTGTAGTGGTGTTTGGACCGTCATATCCTCAAAAGCATTTTTTCTTTTCCGTAGTGGTATTGAAACCATAAAGGCAGGTAGGTTAATAGGCTGTGCCATGGTCCCGTGGGAAAATGCTCACTTTACTGTGTGACAGACTGGGACGTTTGCATTCATGTAGTTACACTCCGCTGGGATGCAAGAGATACAGTTATTACTGGAGATGGAGAGCTGATCTGCAGGGCTCAATGCAAAATGAAGTGAGGTGAAGTAGCCCGTGCATTACAGAGCAGCCTCTTTACAAACCTTCAGGTAACTGTTAGACATGTTGAATAAGAAGGCGCTTGTTTGTTTAAAGAATAGCTCCCCAGACCTAAATTTCAAGACTGTGCTGTTTTTCAAGTCTTGTCAAGAAGAGGCATAAACAAAGTTGGTCCAGGTTGGTTTAAATTGCTGCTTTAACAGCTGAACTGACTCGTGCAAAAAGAGGCATCAGTCTGTTCCTTTGTTCTTGATTTCTAGCTTTGATGTAAAAGTGAATGCCTGTGGTTGGGTTATGGGTTTGAAAACGTCGTCACGTCTCAATACTCATCAGCACTGAGTTTGAGAGGAATCCTGTGGAGCCTGCTTCTCCTTCCTTCTCTGAAATGCCACCTTCGTGAAGTCCTTTGTCCTATATTGTCAGTTATTGGTTTTGGAGCAGGTCTCTGCCAGGAGACTTTATTATGTGACTTCAAACCAGGCCTTGCTTAGGGCTTGATTTATAGAGCAATGCTGCATTTTTGCACAGAGGGGATTCCAGTGAGAAATGCTGACCGAGTTGGACAGGGCAGGATGCGCAGGGCAAGAGCTTCCGTGCAGTGAAGCTCAGTGGTGGTACCAGTTTGGTGGCCAGAGCCCAGGCGGTGGAGGTTCTCAGCTTTGTAGAAACACACATCTGTGTTCTGCCAGGTTTGGCTGTGGTGATACGAATGAGGGCACAGCATAGCTGCTGAAGTAAAATCTCCCCTTAGAGTTGGCTCAGGAGAAGCCATTCTCTTCGTTATTCCCCCCTACCTCTTGCAACTTTGACTCTTAAGACCAAATTCCATTACCTGTCAGAATTTCAGAATAGTGCTTCCACTTTGTGCTTTTTTCTCTGCCAGAAGGAAAAGTATAATTGCATTTGTCATGGGGGTGGTGTTGAGCAAGACTTGCTGTATTCTGGTTTGATGGCATCTGAAGTGTCAAGGGAGACTGACATGCTCTCTCAGTAGGCCATGCCCGAAGTCCTGCACTCTAGGAAACATCGAGCCCTGAAACTCAGTGGAACTGACAAGCAAGTGAGGATTTGACTGGAAGCAAGTGTGTATGGTTTTTCCTAGATCTTTCAGACTTGTAAACGTGGCTCCAATAAACCAGCTTTCTTAAGGAACCTTTAAAATAACTATTAACTTCTTGCCTCTGCATGACAAGCAGAGTTAAACGTGAGAACCGCTGAGAATAGAGACAAGTTTGCAGATAGCAAGAACTTGGTTAGGCATTGGTAACGCTGAGGTGTGGTTCGGAGGTGTCTCTCGGAGCGAGAGAGTCTTCGCTCTGTTTAGTTTATGTGGATCAAGAGATACCTTTGCATCTGAATAACGCAAGCTGCAGTCAGCAACATGTGCCCATCGCATTTGGGAATGGGAGAGAATACGACGCTCCTGTGTGATCATTGCATGGTGATTTTCGTGTGGTGCAGAGGTGGTTTTTGCAATCTGGCACATTTTGATTCTGCATGGGTCGTTAATCTCGCACTGGCACAAAGATGCAAGGGCCTCAGTCTTTGCCAAACCAGGGAACAAGCCTGGTGCTGCGATAATAAATGCCCTGCAAATCGCTGAGGGAGGTTTCACGAGCTGTGGCACCTACAGATTGGGCTTGGACTGGGAACCGAGTGACAATCGGCACCCCGAACTGGAAGTGCGATCAGTTATGTTAACTTCCCACTTCTGCTTTCCTAAATGTGAACGATCTTCCTTGTAAAGAACTCTTATAGCAGCATTTCTCTAGTGCCTTTGTGTATATGAAAAATGTTGTTTTGGAATGAAACAGTATTTTTTAATATTGCTTTTAGTTCATATGGATTTCATTGGCGAGAAATCTAAAAATATTTAGGCATAATGGCATACGTTCAACACTGTGCTCCAGAGTAATTTTCAACACGCTCTTATCATGGTTCCTCTATCATTTAATGTTCTGTAAGTAGTATTTCCCTCTCCCTACCCTCTTGGTAGAGGCATCTACTATGGCTGGTTGGAGCGCTTTGTGGGAATGCTAAAATCAACACTTCAACAGGATAAAGAGATACTTGGAAGGGAGGGAAGCTGGCAGTTTATCTTTAGAAAGCAAGTCAGCGTGAGCAAAGGGAACTGTTTGATTCATGCAGAACGTGGAGGATGGTGGCCATCTGCTTTTCAGTATCGTTCTTTTCCTTGCCAGTCTTACAAAGAAATTGGCGCAGATGTTTGCTGTGCTGGACCTGTAGGAGTACAAAGGGTGTGAGAGGGGTGCAAGCTGCCTTTTTAATGTATTATTCTTCACTAACGTGCTCAGGCACAAGGAGCATGTCCTGCGTGAGGCTGTCAGTACCCCCAGGAGCCCAGAAATGCACGGGATGTGCTTGGCACCTCCCAGCCGCAGCGTTTTTCACATCAGCAGGGGCCATATGGTGTCTTGGCGTCTCTAACCGCTGCTCGTAGTTAATTACCTGCTTTTGTTTCCATCTCTGCTGGCGCGCTGGGGATCGAGTGATACTGCTTTCTAACAATGGGGGCTCTTGCCTGGAAAGAGGCACTTGTGCTGTCATGAAGATATTCCGATCTAAGCAGTTGTTCTGGGCCTCGTAGTGGTACAATGAGGGAGATGGTGTGTGTTTACCTTGCATTTACACCCAGGTGTAAAAAATGCATGAGATCAAACACCCTTTCTTGCAGTCCGCCTTTGTTGCTGAGTTTCACCATGTAGCACAGATATGCAGACACTTCCTTTAAAACCGTCAGAGTTGCAAACCGGAGCAAATTGTGCAAGTGTGCAGATTCCAGGGGTTTGTATCAATTGCAAGATCTGCTTTTTCCCCACTGTCCTCAGATGTACGCATGCTGGTTCTCCCTTAGATCATACTTCCTGGGTGAAGTGCTGAGTAGACTATGACTAACTGTGTTATTGTCTCCCTTTCCAGTTAGGACGCAGAGGGAAAGAGCAGTTGGGATTATTGTTCTTTTTTTAATAACCAAAACTGGTTTTCATTTTATTTTTTTCTTGCTGTAGTTTATCATATCTGTCCAGCAATCTGTTTCAGTATCTTGGCAGAGGAAAAGTAAACGCTATCGTTCTTGAAAAATGGCATCTGCATGGGCTTCTGGAGGGTGTCGTCTGTTTGTTTTGACTCCACAATTGCCACGCCAGCTGAGACAAAGATACCTGGCAGATGAAGTGCTGAACGTCAGCAAAGCAGCAGAGCCCAACTCTGCCACCCAGGACTTGATTAAACACTCAGAATTTGTAACCACCCAGGTGATTATCTTAAAAAAAACCAAACCAAAAATATAAACAACAACAACACAAAAAAGCAAAACAAACAAAAAACCCCAAACTTCTTCTCAGTAAGCCAGGCATGTTTGGGCTCTCATACAGACATCCATCTTGCATGTGCGCCCAGGTTCACTCTCTTCCCTGCAGTAGTTTGAACGCGCAGAGACTGCACGAGCGTAAAGAGGAGACTGACACCCACTGCTCTGTGGAGGAGGATGCTGCAAGTGGACATACACACTAAGCAAAATGTGCAGCATGAGTCTGCGGACTGAAACCCAGAGCTTTTTCCTTCTCTCTAGGAGATCAGTGACTTTGAAACTACCGCAGATTTAAGATGGAGGATGATGGCGTGGAAAGAGCAAGCTGTCAGCAAGCTGCTGTGAGTTGGTTTGGTGGTGATGATGTGTGATAGGAAACACAGCAAGGAGATGTGCGGTGCTCGAGGAAGTGTGCGTAGGGAACACGCTGTGTGTGAGGCAAGGGTGATAAAGCGTTTTGGCTGGTGTATGTGTCTTTTCTTGGGCCTTATGAGGTAAGAGAGAACATGCTGTGCCAGTTAGTGACAAAATGTCTGAGTGGGGTAAAATGATCTGGGCAGGAGGCTGTCAGAGAACAGCAGAGAGGCTCTGTACGTTGAAGGCTGGCAGGGAGGAGTATGACTTCATCCAGTGGGTCTAAATATACTTCGTAAATCATACTGTGGCACAGTTACTGGTTATGCTTCTGATCACAGATAAGACTGGCTTCATGTGCTTGGCGAATCTCAGACGACCATTCCATTCTTACAAGATCATACAGCTCCCTTAGCTTTTCCTGATCGTGTTTTCTCAAGAGTTGTGGATGGCATATGTTGTTGAATCTAGATGGGACTCATGTCTGCTGTAAAGGAGAGGTGAGGTCCAGGCAATGGTATTTTGCACTGCTCTCAGACAATCAAAATGCATTGTCATAAATCTGTTAGCAAATGGTGAATGCTGGAAGAGCTTGACCTCTCTATAGGGATACGGTAGCAGCAAGTGGGATGCGCTTGTGGAAGAAAAAAAAAAAAGTGCTCTCATTAGGAGAGGAAAGCACTGCTTGGGAGGAAGAAAAAAAACGCCCTGCAAATCCCAGTGTATGCTTCAAAAAAGATCTTCCCCCAAGGTGTCTGGAGGTGGGGACAGGAAGTGGAGCTCTGTTTGGTTATGGTGCAGGGAGCATTTATGGTAAGAGGATGAAAGCTGTGATCATCCAAATCCTATTTACGTTTCCCATCTCTTGAAATCCCAGTGGAAAGTACTCTGATGGTGTCCACTCTCTTCAGCCGCTTCCAGGAACTTTGCCACCAGCAGTGTCACTGACAGAGGGCTCTTGTTCTCACGGTGCAGCCAGTAAGTCAGCCCTCCTGCCTTAAAATACTACTTTCTTTGCTTGTAATTCCTCTCTAGTTGATCTGGTGAATTGCATTTGAAGGCCAAAAGAAAGTCAGCTAGGAGAGAGGGTTGGTATGTTTTGTAATGCGTCTCTTCCCCGAAAAATAAGTATTATGATGTATCTGAATCCTCTGTGATCACCTCTTTGTATTAGTGCTTGCAAATGTGCTTTGGACTCTTATCTAAATTCTGTAATCATTCTAGACAGAGTCTTTACTGGGAATGGATTGTATCTCTTTCTAATAATATTTTTTTTGTTCTAGATTCAGATGAAACTTGGTTTTGTAGCAAGGAAGCACTAAAGAACCGGCACAGGGGTTCTTGCTAAAACCCAAAAGTTCAGGTAGGAAGGGAAAAAAAAAGTCCTACCCACTGATGCTGTGTAGGATCTGGAAAATGTCTGCACTTTTCCAGTCATTCAAAGAGAAAATTACCCGTCTTTGGAGGGGGGAGGAAATGTCTCCTCCTCTCTGTACCCCATTGTGGATGTGACTAGGCAACCTTCTACAGGGAACTATTTTTATTACTCCTTCTCATCTTGCAATGGACAGCTCTGGTGGAGCGGGAAGCCTGGGGAGGGTCGGTTCCTGTCTCTCCATTGTCGTGCAGCTAGAGCTCTCTGCTCTGAAAAAGGATACACAGGTAGTTCAGGCTGCTAGGTCATTTAACCCCCGTTTTCCCACTGGTCGGGGGAGCCGAGTGTTATTCACAAGCATCTTGGGCAGTATCCCTGTTTTGAAGTGACAAACCACACGCAAGGACTGAGCTGTTTCCACAACTGTTTATCAGAGGAAAGCAGATAATTCGGTGCTATCTGCAGTACATGCTCCAAGAGCAGAGCTTAATGTGTTGGGTTTTTTTTTTTTTTTTTACATTTTGTTGGTGTTTTTACAAAACCTTGTTTTATCCTGCCCATTAATAATAATAAAAAAAGCCCTAACGGTATCTGCAGGATTGCTCTGTGAAGTCTGGCTGCTTCTGTGAGAAACAAAAGTGCCAAAAGGTAAACCTCAAAATCTCTAATTTGAAATAATCTGGATTTCTCAAAGAGGAGAGTTAGCCTGTTTGTCTTGCTCAAGTTTTAAGTGAGGGACGCCTGTTTTTCTGATGATACATTGCAGCTACCTTTCACATTAGTGAGTGTGCTGAAAACATAGCTGCTGTGAGCTAGAAATTTGACACTTCAAAATCTTGGGTCTGCTTTGCTTGATGTAGGCCAGAGACCCGAGGACATTGTTTTGCGGCTTCCTGACGCAAAAGGTCAGTCTTGCTGTGAAAGTGGTTAGCATTGTCACCAGACGCAGCCAGAGGTTTCACAGTGTGTTTTTTCACGGGGAGGATTATTTGAGTGGGTTAACGGCCGCAGCCTTTGACAGCAGCACCGTGCTTCTTTGCTGCTGCTGTGGAGTACTCCCAGCCACTGTCAGGTCCAGAATGAAAAGCTGGAATCACTGTGATCCTCTCAGTTTCTCTAACCTCTCCCCTTTCCCTTCCCTTAGATCTCCTTCCACCAGGAGTCTGCAATCTCCTCAACCCGGCCGCTATCTACGCTAACAACGAGATCAGCCTGGGAGATGTTGAGATATATGGCTTTGACTATGATTACACATTAGCACAATATTCTAATTTACTACACTCTATGATTTTCAACACTGCCAGAGACATCCTAGTAGAACAATTCAAGGTAATGATGTGCGAAGAATTTCCACTCAATTAATCTTACTCTTGTCTTTGTGATGCCCCAAACGTCCTTGCAAAATGCGACATTGTGTACATGTGTCAATTACTTGTTTTATTGAGATGAATTTCATGTTTCACAATCTTTGATTGCAGAAAGTTTTGTTTGTACATGGAATTAATTTCCTTTGAGACAATTTACCACGCTCTGTATTCGTGAGGTTTTATAAATATGGAGCAGGAACTTTAGTCTAGAAAGGTCTAGTCTGTGTTACCTAACTGGAAATAATGCCTATAGAATTGCTGGTTCGAGGTGCATGCGGTGGATGAACATGAACGGTGGGCGAACACTGATGCCGTACAGGGCTTGACACGTGCAACGCAATGTGGATGATGCTGTAGAGCATGTCCATGAATGGACACCCTGTTTACGATAGGTGACCAGTCTGTGCATTTTCTTCTCGTCATATCTTTCTTTTTAGAGGAGCTCTGCAGTGCCATTGCTTTACCAAATATATGGGTTGAATGGAGCTTACTAGAAGCGTCCTCTTTGCATGAGTGAATCTGTTAACGTTTTCACTAGTGTCCCTTACATGAGAGACAGTAGTTTTGGGGATCCTGATGCTTTAGGTCTTTCTCCACTCATCCACTTACCTTTTTGAAGGGGCAAAATGAAGTGCTCCTGTTCCTTGGTCGATTTATGCCTGGGGTGAGACAACTAGTAGGACTAAGCCAGCACAACATGTGAAATAGTTTTGTTGATAAGCAGGTGCTTATGCCTCTGATGATGTTGCTGTCTGTCTCCCAGTATCCAGAAGGTCTTGGGAAGTATGACTACATCCCAGGGTTTGCCATACGTGGACTTCACTATGATGTACAAAAGGTAAGCTGTACAAAGTTCAGTCTCCTGGGCTTTGTCTTCCATTGCATTATGTTTTTAGTGGAAATACTTTCTCTCATTGCTTACAATAACATCGATCACCAAACCATCAGTGAAATACATAGTCCTGGTGGCTGTGCTTTTCATTGCGTGGGGTCGTCTTGCTTATAAACCTTCCAAGGGGAAAGGTGTCTTTTGTGTCTGCGTAGCCTCAGCAGAATGGGACATTCTCGCAAAGGCCTCTGGTAAACAGCCTCACCAATTTAAAAGTCAGTTAATTCTGCAAGCTAATTAATAGAAAACTCAGCTTGTTTGTGTGGTCATTTGTGTCCTTCGGGAAATTTGAACAAAAAGCCTCATTCCTGCATCTACAAGTACTTGCCAGGAGCAGGGGCATTCTGTCTTCCTCTAATAATAGGAAGGAGTTGTTAGGAGAATGCTTTAGGAAGCCCTCCCCACCCCCCACCCCGAATAATAGGACTGCTTGGAAAAAGAACCATGCTACTTGAGATGCATGCTTCTTAGAGGCACGGGCAGGCGAAGTGCAAGCGTTAGCTTCAACCCTTTTTGGTACTTTGGACGGATTCCTGAAAGCCTGATGCCCAGGGATGTAATGCTGGCTGCTGCAGCCGGGCGGTCAGGTGGGAGCACAGCAGAGAGAGTTGCTTCACTTTAGTAGCTTTCTTATGTTGAGCCTTGACCAAATTCAGGGAAGTGGGCAGTACAGGCTGGAGTGTGTGTGCATTTCTCCAGAAAAAAAAAAAGACAATGAGGAAGAAAACTATATGGAGTTTTCCTGTGTCTTTTGTCCTAGCTGAGGTGACAGCATGGCAGCAGATCGCTCATGCCTCTCACTTTACAAAGTGAAAAGTAAATCTGTGAGATACCAAAGTTTCTCCGCTGAAATCTCTGGCTAGTAATCAGAGGAACACAGAGGCGACTAGCCTAGCCAAGCGAAGCGCCCTTTGAGTGAGTAGACAGTGAGAACTCTCGTTTCTCAGGATGAGAGTTTGCAAAACCCATAAAAAAACTGGGTAGTGCGTAAGTAGATCTTTCAGCATATTTGCCTGCACTCCTCACAAGCTAGTGGGAGGTCTGCCCATGGTGTAACAAGCCGCACTGATACGGTATCGTGATAAAAGAAGGTGCCTGAAGGCTCTGGATGCTCTGCGGAATCAATTACCTTGCACTGTGGTAGAAACGGCACAAACAGTTTGATGCTGTGTCCTTACCCGAGTTGGAGAGTGATGCAGGTTTAGTGAGAGGCTGCTTTCCATGCCCTGAGAACTTGTGTTACAGCTTCACAATGATGGATGACTCATGAATAGGGGAGTCTGATACAAAAAAATGCAAAGAAGGCTCTAACGTTACCAGCCCAGTGTGCTCCTGAACGCCTGTGATTAAATGTCTATTGGGGAGGGGGAGAAGCGGTGGAGGGGAGAGCTCTTGTGTAAAGAAAATGACTGGGCGCAGCTGCACTCTAAGCCAAAACTTGCCCACTTAGTTCTGCATAAGATAAATGTGAGGAGAAACAGATCTCTTGTGCACACAAAGCTCTTTTGGGATGTGTCTGCTTTTGGAAGGGAGATAAGAAGAGACTGTCTTGAGGCACAGAAACATTGTTCTCTCCGTTTTTCAACTGCATCCCTGTCTGCAAACTTTGGGGTGTAACAGACAGTGGTATTTCAGCTCATAGAAATATAGGCTTTGCCAGAGAGGCCAATAAAAAGTCACAGTATGGATAAGTGTGTGTAAAAGTGTCTGTAGAGTAAATGCAGCCTGAAGTATGTACATGTGGGATGTTTATATTGAATTTTATTTTCTAAATGTCATTTGTGTGGAACTTCAAACTTAAATAAGGTTTTAGTGTAAACCTACCCAATTCTAACAGTAAATATCTATCCCTTATCACAGAGTCTTCTGATGAAGATCGATGCTTTCCATTATGTCCAGCTGGGGACGGCATATAGGTCTGTCAATGCTGAAAATCATTTTCTAAATGCCCACATATGCAAAGTTGGATTACTAAATCTGAGTGTATGCTCAGTCTCATCTGGTTTATCCTGTTTGCACTTGCTCCAGAATCTTACCTGGCATATAATTGCAGGGAGTTATTTTTCTCAAGCATTTAAAGCCAAGTGTGGGTGGGAAGACCTGGAGCTTTTTGTAGTGGTGAATGGCATATCTGGTCACGTACTCCACGTGGTGTCTGAGTTGCAGCTGTAGCGTGCCTGGATTAACATCTGTGAGCAAACAGTGCAACCAGGAAAGGACCCCTCCATATGTGGTCCACATACACGTCTGTCTTCTCCAGGCAGGAGCGTATCCCAGCAGTGGTGTGCTGTGCCTTGTCACAAAGCTACGAGAAGAGTGGTCTGGATGTGCAATAAAATCTTAAAGCAGTGCAGACGTGTCAATAAAGTAATGACACGTCAGAATCTGGGCTTAGTTTAAGGCCTAGGTTGTCCTATTTTTCCTTCCTTCTGTTGCTCTCCAAGGAGAGCTGGGTGTGCTTTGGAATAACTGGCTGAAACAGTGCAGAGCAAACTTTTCTCCAAAAAGTTGTCAGACTGGAGACTGAGGGAAAACCTTGCCACAAAATAGAGTGGGATCGGTGCGTAAGAAGTAGTAATTCGTAGATGTCAGTACCAAAGCTCCTGTAAATCTGTATTGTGTTTCTGGAGCATGGAAGCCAATGTTTTCTTCTTCTTGAACTCTGCCCTTTTGCTGTTAAGCTTCAGTTACAGTAAACACTAAGAATATTAAGAAGGGAGTTTCATAATCAGACAGAATTGGCTTATTTGAGTGCTACCTTTTGGGGGATGGGAAAAGGGGGTTGGTACTGCCCCATATTTCACTTCAGCTTCATAAAGAGACTTTTAGCAAGAACACATTTAAACTTCTTTTTCCCTAGTGTCCTTTTGTAACTGCCCTTCTTGGAGTGTCCTTTTCCTAAACTGTCCTTTGCTTTTGAGCAAAACTGAGGCAACTTTTGACTTCTCAGAGGCCTTACCTTGATTGAATAGGAGAGGAGAAAGTTGCTGACTGCTTAAGTAAACAGCCATCAAAAATTGTGCAAGAGGCAAAGCCTGCAGCAGTCAGATAATCTGATGTTCATGAACGGTGAACAGCTCATAGCCATACCTGTGACTGCGGTGTTTTGGGGAGAAACAGCAGTCTCTGTTGAACAGTCTTAGCTAAGAACTTGTTTTGCTTAGGAAAACTGAATAGGAAGGAAATGCCGTTTTCAGAAAGGTCTTTTCCTACACCTTTGCATTTAACGGTGACACACTTCGTGGAAGCAACCGCTCCAAAACTACAGTTACCCAGTGCGGCCCAAGTCAGGCGTGGGACCGATTTGGTGCGGCAGTCCTGTTAGCAGATTGACAGCATACAGAGAGAAGCCGCTGTCTGAACTCTGCTGGAATGTGGGTACAGCCCCTCAATTAACTTGAAGGAGCAAACAAGGTATCTGAAGAATGTCTCGGGAAAGATTTTATGTGAGTCTTAAGAAACCATGGAGCTGTCAGGCTTTCTGGCGCTCTCTTTTGTGCAAGAGAAATGTGTGAGTTTTAGAAAGGAGCCTGTCTGTCTTTTCTTTCTCTGCAATGTGTAGCTCTGTGCAGACTGGTGATTATTGACAAACTATTACTGTTGTTTTCTGTCTAGAGGGCTCAAACCAGTGCCTGACGAAGAGGTAATCGAACTCTACGGTGGTACGCAGCACATCCCCCTGTACCAGATGAGTGACTTCTATGGCAAGGTATTAAGCCCTTTACTGCTGTGAGGCAGCAGCTCTTTTAACAGCTAGGAAAACAGAGTGAATTGTGTGAGCATGTAAATGACTCCAGCCTTCCCTGGACTCCAAAAGGCTCAGTCTCCTGGTGAGCTGCACGGTGTGGTTTTGTTGTAGTGGGAATTTGCCCCAGAGGTTATTTAGCAGTTTAGCATGTGAAAGCCATCTATGAAGCTTTCCTGAACACCCGGGCTGTTGGGCTAGAGCTGAACGGCTTTGGAGCCTGACAGGGAGATGTTCCCTGCTTGTTCTGTGGCCAAATCTAGCTCCCAGGCTCCCAGGGCAGCCTGCAGTGATGGTGTTTGCAGTGAGCTTTGTGGGAGGGGGTAGGTGTGTGTAGCAGCAGGGTGCTTGCAGTGCCTTTCTCTCTTTGGTTTTGGGTTGGGTTTTTTCCTTCATGAAGGGGATCCCCCCTCCACACCTCTTCAGACCCACTCAGTGGATACTATTCATAGGGTTGGCATCTTTGACCTTGTCCTTTTTAGTCTGCTGTGCTGATGTCGCCACCTGTATGGGTAACAGGAAGGTCTGCTAGGTCAGGGATTCCAGGCAACAAGGCAAGTGGGACTGACATAGCTGAAGTATGTAATTCTCCCTTAAGGGTTTTCTTGATCCTCTGTTGGCAGGAGTGTGTGGACACCTGCCAGCATCCCAGCACCTGCAGGAGGCAGGCACAGATCTTGCCCAGGGTTAGACAATGCAATTAGTGTGGCTTTCGCTGGCAGGACTAGTGCTGGCCTGTAATGACAGAGGGGAGCTTATGGGTGTTGTGGAAAAAGCATATGTAGCATTCTTTCTAGAACTATGGTCCAGTTTTCATCCGGACTTGTGTCAGTATGTCTGCTATAAGGAAGCTGAGGCATCTAAAGGGAGGGGGGGAGGCTGGACTTGCCTTGTAGGATGATGACATAAGGCACGCAAATGAAATCAGAGTTGACAACCTACAAGATAAGTCTTTGCTGTTAACACTGAACATTGAACTGTCTCCTCTGTGCTTAAGGTCTTGGTGAGACAGGTCATCGCTCTTCTGCGCTCTGCTACATCCCATACCTAGTGATTTCAGTAGGAACTGCCTGTCTGTGTCCCTCCTGCTGCTTTCCCTGAATCCCTGAACAGGAGAAAAGGTGGAGGCTGTTTTCAGGAAATTTTGGTTGTGCTAGTGGGAGAAATGTTCTTTTGGCAACCACACATCAAAATGGACAAATGTCTGTTGAAAGGATTCAGCAAGCATTGCTAAGCAGCACAGCTGTGTGCAATGTGTGGCCCAAACCAGAGGGTGTTCTTTGCGCTCTCTTCTGCGTTGGGTCACATTGTCCTGTGCTGGCTGGCTGGCTGGATAGAAATTGTATAACCCTCAGCACACCAACATAGCTGTTGATCGCAGCATTTTTTGGTAACAGACCTCAAACAAAATTCTGTTTGTCATTCCTTTGCCCTTCTGCATCTTCCTTCCTGACCCCAATTTGTGCTGTCCCAATACTGCCTTTGGACAGCAGTGCTGCAAGCAGAGTGCGAGTCTCTTGTGCTACCCATACAAGACCAGACTAAACGGGAGATGTTACTGTTGTTACATCCTGACAGGACAGGGACACAGGTTTGTCATCAGGCAGCATGTGCGCTCCATCAGCTTCCACCACGTGTACCTTCTGTGATCTTTCAGGTGCTGCTTTCATGTCTATCTTTCACATAGCTATAATAAGTGCCTTCTGATGTGGACCACTATTATCCTAGAGAGTTGCGACTTGGCGGCTGTCAGTCACGGATTGCTCAAAGCTCACAGGCACAGGCATGATGCAACTGGATTGCCAGGGCACCTCTGGTGACTCAGTTCCTTGGGAGGTCCGTGCACTTCCCAAACTGCTTTTCACGTAGAGGACCTTAGTAACTGTTCCCTTGGCTGATCTGGCACTTCAGCGATGAAAGATGAAAAAATTGATTCCAGCTTCAGCTTACCAGTGGGGCTCACCATAGTCCTCTGCGCAGGTGGTACATACCGCATAAACAAGCTCGATTTTACTGGAAGGCCTCTCTGGAGCCAAAGGTGGCTGTCAACGTGCTGATAGGTTTGTGATTGATAGTAAACAAAAATAGCAAACGTATGGGAGAGCTGCAACCTTGCCTAATGCAAGGTGAGTTATTCCTCGGCCAAGGTTTAGTTGTCCACTTCCACCTGACTGCTGGGTGGGCTGGAGATCTTTTTCTTCTTCTTTGTGCGCACTCCGGGCTTTCTGTAGCGACTCAGGGGCAGGCAGGCACTGACAAACTGCTGGTTGGCGTGATGGCCATAGCTGCTTCTGTAGCAGAGCCTTGTCTGCGGGCATCTGTATTAATGCCAAGAGGCCAGGTGGGAAGCAAAGGGCATGGGGTTGAAATAACAGCTAGTGTCTAGGACTGACTGCCCGCTTCCTCCGCCTCCACCCCATGGTGTTAATGATGGTTTGTTTACCGGTTTCTGTGAAGGGGAAGCTTCTCTCTTGTCAAGTGTTAATACATTGGGTTAGTATTTTGGTTGAGGAGAGAAGAGTACTTGCTGAGTGGCTGGGACTTTCCACATTAGTGTTTTTGTTAGCCAGGAATGTCTTCCAGATGGTACTGGGTGATAGGAGTTTGTTTATTGGCTTTGCTTTTATTCCCCCCCCCCCACCCAGCAATTCTTTTTTCATACTTAATGTCTTCCAGATGGTACTGGGTGATAGGAGTTTGTTTATTGGCTTTGCTTTTATTCCCCCCCCCCGAGTATTTTTTGTTTAATGTGTCTGCTACATTTTTTTGCTTTCCAGGGTCCATCACTTAAGCAGTTTATGGACATTTTTTCTCTTCCTGAAATGACGCTGCTCTCATCAGTCATTGATTACTTCATAACTCATGGCATTGAGTTTGATCAGGTGCATCTTTACAAGGATATATCTGTAAGTACGATGTTGACTGCCCCATAGCTCATACCACATCAGAATTGTGAGCTCTTTGGCTTGTTAGCACTGGTGAGCTCTGCAGCACCCAAACCCAAGGGGCTGTTAGTGAATGGCCTAACATGACAGCGTTGTTGCCCCTTTAGATTAAAGCATTACCAGGGAATATTCAAAGCTGTGTTTTCAGAACATGTTAGGTTTCTGTCTGTCCTACAGGGTTGGTGTTGCTGTACATTATCTCTTGCAGGAGTGCCTAGGCTCGTTAAGTTGAAGGTCCTTACGTGGGAAATATGTCACAAAGCTTGTGTAAATGTTTTCTGGTTCTGCAGACTTTTAAGCTCTATGTTTTGCTGTTAATATCTCATTTTTCAAAGGGGCTTGATCTGACCATGTACCAAACAGTTTGCTTTATCCAGCGATTGTTGTGAAACACCTGCCCTTGCCTGCTCTGAGAATCCAGCCCTTTGCTGTGCAGCTGCAGAGCTGTCTGACCCTTTAGGGATGTTTTCCAGTGGGTGACTGTAGCTTTCAAGAGCCTGTTACTCCAGGGTGCTAACTGTGCCCCCTCCAGCTTAACTCCTGGCATCTGAGAGGACTGCCTGGGATTATCAGCATTGTCGGGGGTACTGTTTGACTTCTTAGTTTATGCTGTAGGCAAGATGTAAGCACTTGAGATTGCTGCCCTGGGTGACTTCTGTTGACAGACAACGCATCTTCCTTGGTAACCAAGCCTTATTGCATGCCTTTTTCCGTGAAGAGGGGTTTTTGATTTGTGCCTTGTTGCAATCTTATGCTCATGCACTGGTAGCAGCCCATACATAAGCTGTTCTGTCTTGTTGCGAGGGAAATAGAGCTCCACATCTGTGCTACTTCTTTTGTGATAAGGATCCACCCTGTCAGCGTAGCTGCAGCCGAGGATTACGGCTTATGTTCTGACCTTCTGTTGGTGCTTGATAAGAGCTTGCCTACCAGTTTCCCACAAGACTTTTATGTGTTTCTAGGGTGTTAGTTGTTGCAGTTGTTTTCGTTCTTGGGGTGGGGAAAATGGGAAGAAGGGGTACAGCTCACTCCTGGGGCCTTTTGTCAAGACTGTCTTCTTGAACCTTCTTTTGTGGTCAAAACGGACATGTTCCTAATTGAAATCTTGAGAGCAGCTGGGTGGCTGCCCCAACCTAATACATATTAAATACTGGGCAAATGGTGTGCTCAAGGCCCAAAACCCCCGAGTGCTAATCCTGGCATTTGTCTTCACATCCTTTGCTGAGGGGTGTGCTCATTCCTGAGGCATGACTGAGGCAGGCAGAGAAGAGAGCTCCACAGAAAATCTGTGCCAGTGCCTGAAATCTGTACTGGAAAGCTGGGGGCTGTTGTGTGCTCTCACTAGAAGAGTTCTTGCTTTTTTTCTGTACAATGAGGATAAACAAACATTTTTGAAAAACTTATCCCTTTGCAGTACCTGAGTGTGAGTGCAAAGAAATGGTTTGTGGACATGAGCACAGAGTTCCTCCTGTGCCTATGCAGACAGGTGTCCGAGAGGACTTGCACAGCCCCAGCTGTTATTGCAGCACAGGCTCACAGTGGGCTGAGACTTGTCTAAACCTGACACTCCTCTGTAATTTTTAGTGGTAATCCTGATTGCAGCGCGGTGTGTTTGGGAGCAGGTGGAGTCCTAGAGACACTGCACTGAGTCAAAAGGGCAGACCCTGAGACAGTGGTAAAGGTTGAAAGTAGCATGTAAACCAAGTCATCCTGTCACTCCAGTTTGGTCGCTTTGTGTCTGAGAGTTAGAATGTACAGTTTCCCCAGCTTTCCTCTGGAGGAGTTCTTGAGCCCTGTTTGACACCACCTCAGGCTACCAAAATGTGGTTTTTTTAATTCTTTTGCTTTTTGGGGGGCAGGGTACGGGGAAGGAGCACAGTGGAATCTCTTTCTCCTCTGCAAAGGTAGTTTTGACACCAGTCCAAAGCGTTGTTTGCTTTTAGCGCCAGTGCTGGTCAAGAGAAAGTTGTTTCCTTGTTAGCGCGTTTGCTTTTTGTTCAGTTTCTTTCCAATAGCGCAGTCTCTTGGTGAATGAGATGTGACTTCTGACTTTTTACGATTCAAATCCATGTGGTGCAGAGACTCCCAAAACTCTGTTTTGAAGAGGTAACGCCTCCTCCTTCATCGTCCCCCATCTAAGTTGTAAATTCTGGTTCTCTCCCAGCTTTGAAGGAAATGATTTTTGGGGTGATGAGCAGGTGTCACCAGCACTGCCGTGAGACCAGGTGACTGTGTAGCATTGTGTGCAGGTGTCACTGTAGCAATGTCAGCAGCGAGCATGGGAATCCAGTCTGAAAGGGCATCTCCCAAAGGAGCACATGTACTGTAGCAGGGATTTAAGGGTCCTGGGAAAAGGCAGTGTTTGTTTACCTGTCTAAATTGTCAAGGAGGAAAACGGTGCTGTTAAAACAAGCGTTTGCATGTGCAAACACTGCAAAATGCGTTGCTGCTCTGGAAATGGTTTTGTTTATCTGGCATCCACTGGATGGAGACTTGGGAAGAATCTGTTGGGTGTGTCCAAAAATGTGTTGCCTCTTGCCTGGAAAATAGAGGATATTTGGATGCCCTTGACGATATCGGTTTTAACTTGCCTCCCTCCTGAAAAGTGGGCAGCTCTGTTTTGGCAAAAGCCCCTCACCATCCTCGTGGAAGCTTCTGCTCTGCCTGTGCCCACTGGCCATCCAGGGCCGGGAGCCGTAGTCCTCCTGGGCTAGCGGGGAGCATTTTGGAATCATAGATGCTTGCCTCTGCTGCTGTTCGCTTCAGCCACGCTCCCATCCTTTGGGTCAGAGCTTGCACAGGCATAGGGAGGAAGAAAAGCCAGCTAGTGCCTAGGCCAGTACAGTTTTGGGGCCGTAAATGGTTTTGGAGTTGCACAGTCTTGATTGCCTTGGTAACTGTGTGTTAACATGTGCTGGTTTGCAGGAGCAGGAAGGAACCTGTTCTTTCATGGGTCGGTTTTAAGGTTTCTCCCCTCATACTGCAGCAGCTGAGCTGTGTTCTTCTTTTCGGCATGCTGCTGGGCTTTGACGTACAAGGTCCTCTGCTTAGCATTAATGTAGCTTTTGTTCATTCAGCAAGAAGAGGCGATGTGCCTTTGCTGTATTGGTCCTCAGTGGTGGCAATAGGTTTGCATGCTGGGAGGCTGTAAAACTGAAACTTTTTCCCTGTCTTTTTCTTTAGGATGCTATTAGAGATGTACATGTGAAAGGAGTGATGTACAAATGGATTGAAAAAGATATGGGTGAGTTAAATAGAGCTCGGGCGCCAAGTCCATCTTGCTGTGTCTTGTACTATGTGGTGTTCTGTGTCAGATGACTGTGTAGGCCCTACACGCAGTCGCGGGAGTCAGAGGGACACAGAAATTATTTAAATACTTGATTGTGGCATGCCTAAAGGCAGGCGAGGGGTAGAGTGGCACTAAGAACGAAGTGGTATTTAGGGCCAGGTGGAGGATCTATCTTAATGGAGGAAACTGCTACCTCATTGCTTGTGTTTCTGTTTTTCTTCAGCTTGTAAGCAAGGGATGACAGTCCTTGGCATGATGTCAACATGCAAAGGCACCATCTGGGAAGGCTTCCTGGTCATTTGGGGACAGACAGCTCCTGGTAGCAACATCGCCTGGAGTGGCTGTGCCTGTCCCATATGACTGTTTGGTATCAACCCTCTTTTTTGCCAGCCTTTTCAGTTCCTCAGTCTTTCTCTTCCCTCTAGATGGGATTGATGAGGATGAGGAAGGCCATTTTGTCACCGTGGTGGTTCACTCACTACCTGCCTGCCTGAGGTGGATCTAACTCAGGCCATTTGCATCCCTATTGGCATAGGGGCTAGGTTTGGTTTTTGTTTTCAAAGAAATGTGGTCATGGCTTATGCCAAAATTTTTTGATCGATTATGTCTGTTTTATTCCAATATAGAACAATACATTCTGCATGGGGATGAAATCTATGCTGTGCTAAACCGACTGGTGAACCATAAGAAGAAACTCTTCCTCATTACAAACAGTCCCTTTAGTTTTGTGTGAGTACTGTTATCGCACGTGGATGGGTCGCCACGGCACAGCAAGAGCTGTGCGGTGTGGTCTCTCCTGTGAGCACCTGAACGTTGCATGCTAGAGGGTTTTGTGGCCTTAAGATGAGAGTGCTCTCTGGGAACTGGTAGTGGTGTTTGTGGCCATAGGATGAGAGTGCTTTCTGGGAACTGGTAGTGGTGAGTGTTGCACCCCACAGCTCTCTCCACAGCGTTGACTCTCACTTTTTGAAGAAGATATGAGGCTGTGGCTGGCCACCACGTTACAAAGCTGCCACTTGGTTTACCTCTAGCAGCTTTTGCTAGACTTCTCTAGACTTCCCATGCTACAAGAGGAAGGGTGGGACAGCTCGAAACAGTCAAAGCATTACATCAATACTCCATGCAATGACACAGCCTTGGGGGAGTCACAAATGTCTATGCTTTCTTCTCTGTTACTGAAATGACAGTAAATTTAGGACAGACTGTTGTAAAGATGCAGTGTTGAGTGAAAAAGAGTACTGGATCTGTTAACTTTTCTGTTCCTTTGCCCTTAGGGACAAGGGAATGAAACACATGGTTGGCAAGAACTGGCGGGACTTATTCGACATGGTCATTGTGCAAGCTGACAAGCCCAACTTCTTCACTGATCGGCGGAAGTACGTGTCCTGGGGCAGTACTGCACTGCTGCACGTGGGGCTGAGGTTCTGGGCCCCCTTCCCTGGAGTGAACAGCTCCTTTTCCCTTCCAAATGAGGTTTTCTAAGTGTAATCTAGGGCCACTAGGCATCCAGCCTGCCCCTGTCCTCTGAGATACTCTCTGAGGAGATAAATACTGACGAGTCTGGGAATAAGTGGGTAGAATGGGTAGTGCCAAGCAGAAAGCGCATTTCTAAAATTGGCTGTCTTAAGCCGCATCAGTTTTGTCAAGGTTTGGACTTAACTTAGATTTTTAGGGGTAATAATGTACTTAAATCTTCAGAAAGAAAAGAGGAGTGGAATTGTGTGTATGAGAACTGGCCATTTCTTGGCTCTAGATCTTGAGAGTTTGCCAAAATCTTTCCTTTTCCTGTTCCCCACAGCAAATATCTGTGTGATTTGGGTTTGGGGTTTTGTTGGTTTTTTTTTTAGTTACTGGATACGTGCTGTTTGGTCTTTGGCAGCTCTGGAAGCCTTTGTACGTGGCGGCTGGGTTTTGCGGTCAGTTAGGAACTGCCAAGGGACTGGCTGATAGGCAAGCTGCTGTCCTCGCTTTTCTCTTTGGATTATTGGCTTTGGGAAGTTGTCTGCTTTGTTGCCTCAACTTATGACTGACCAGGAATAACTGCCCTTGAAGGAGAGGTCTATTCTTTGCTCTTTATGTATTTTCTCCACTGTTTCCCAGGCCACTAGCATAAACAGGAGTAAACCTATGAAATGGCTTTATAAACTGTGCTGACCTCATAAAGGTTTTCTTCATGGCATGTGGGTGAAGTGTCTTACAGATGTAGCCTAGAGCTAGGATGATCTGGCCCTCCAGGAGATAAAGCCTTATGGCTGCGTGATGCCTAGGGTCCACTCATGTAGTGGGCCAGTGGAATGACAGGGCACACATGTCCAAGGTGAGGGGAACCTCCTGATGGTGAGCTGTAGGGAGCTGTGGAGTTTTTCCTCTGAGGGAAAATGCAGGTGTGCACTGGAGACCACTCATGGCTGAGGAGCCTCTTGTGTGGGTAGGCTGTAGTGTTCATGGTGGGAGGCTGGATTCCTTCCGCCCTAAGGCGGCTCAGAATCATACAATGCTTCTGGGTGAGGTTGTACTCTACTTGCAGCTTCATGCCAAGGCTTTTGAGCCCGGAGATCACAGTTTGGAACCCCTGTCCAGAGAGGAAGCAATGTTCCCATCAAGCATGAATGTTCTTGGAGGTGAAGTAACTTAAGCCTTGGTTTGTTTCTTCTGTCCAAGTGGAAGTTAACCAGGCAAGCCCTCAGGAACAACAGGAGCCAGCTCGGGTCAGCTGCCGAGATCAGCACAGAGACTGCTTTCCATCCGCTCCACAGACTGCATTATCCTAGTAAGATGTTCCACGGTCTCTGTTGTGCTGGGGTGTAGCCGCACTGGAACAGGACACAGAGTGTTTCATGGCAAAGCTTTCTCGGCTTTAGCATTTCAGAGGGAGTCTTTATCGTTATTACTTTTTTCCTCTCCTCTGTATCTGAAAAGCAGGAAGAGTTGTTAGGGATATTGGCATGAAATGGTTACAGTCAGTCAAAGCATTTTGAAAAGATATTTCCCTCTCAGACTTTCTTTTCCCCTGAGAAAATAGCGTAGAAGGCCCAGAAGGTCACTTCTCACGTAGAGCTTTTATAATGGGCTGTTACATAGGTAAACAAGGTTTCCTATTCAAATGTTGTGGTTGCTGGGTAACAATTGCCAAAAATCAAAAGAAGTTGACGTCTCCCTTTTTTTCCAGACCTTTTCGAAAACTGGATGATAAAGGCTCACTGCAGTGGGACAAAATAAACCAGCTGGAGAAAGGAAAGATCTACAAAGAGGTAAAGTGAGTGGGTGCATAAGGGTTATGAAACAAGAGTCCAAAGTGGTGGGGACTTGTAAGACACTCACAGTTGTGAAAGTCACTGGAAAAGCCTGGAAGTCACTGGAAAACAAGACAATCTGCTTAGTCAGGGTGGGGGAAAAGGAGGGGTTCTTCTGTAGGTCACTTGTGGATGTTTCAGGTTTGAAAAGTGAAAAATGGAAGTCCTTGGAAAGAGCTCCTGTGACAGAGGGCATTTGTAAGAAGACACTCTAGGCTCTGTGTGCTGTGCTGGCTGGTGGCAGCGAGAGATGCCCTCTGTCCACATGCAGAGAGCCCTTGCTGGCCCGGTAGGACACTGTCCCCTCCCAGCACTTTCAGCATCTCTCTTGGCATGCTTGTGATTTGCCTTGCGATTTACATGCCTCTGAAAAGTCTGCCAGCTTCTCCTGGGATGTGAGCATTAGAAGGAAGGGTCTTTTCCTATATCGGAAAGCCCTGCCAAGGCCTGTGTTGCCTGTCAGCGTGCGATGAACTGACCTCCGAGAATGGTGAGAGATGCTTCAAGCCAGGTGTAGAGAAGGCTGCTCTCCTGGCAGTCGCAGCTTTCTGCAGCTGGGGGAGGCAGAGCTGAAAGAAGGTATAACAGAGCTGCCTGGTAGGAAAAGATTTTGTCTGTGTCTCTGAAGCAGTTTCCTGCCCAGCTCCCTGTAGATCATGCTGCAGAGAGGTGTGTAACGGGAGCGATGTATTCCACCCAGCTCAGCTGGGCTTGGCATTAGGGATGGGGGGACAGGGACAAGGGGCAAAAGGCAGAGCAGGGCCAGTTGACTTAGGGTGTTGGGAGCTTGTATTTCTGCGCAGGAGGACCTGTGCTGAGTTATCTCTGCCAGGCTGAGGTTTTCCCTGCAGCTGTCCTGTTTGTGTGACAAGGGGCAGCAGGGAAACATCCCCTGCGTGTGCAGCGGGGTCAGCAGACCCCCCCCTGCCCCAGCGTACAGTGAACGCTTGACCCTAGGATCTCTGTTCTGACATTGTCCGGTGTGGCCGATAGTGCAGTTTTCCCTTGGCAATTCTGCTGTCCTGGTCTTGAAACTTGTCCTGGAGGGGCTCCCAAGAGTGTGGTAGCTGAGGGTAAGCAGGCAGAGCTCTCTGCTGCGTATGCAAAGATCTTCCACACTTCACTCCAAATTGTCCTCCATAAGGTTGGAAAAGGTGGACTTTGGAGGAGGGAATAGAGAAACAATGGTGATCAAACAGGGTACAAAGCCTGGCTGCCGTCTCTCTCCCCTTCCTGAAGGACAAGCGTGTCCGAAAGATGGGCTGTTACTCCGGTGAACTTGCTGCCCTGGGGTGTTCTCCTTGCAGCTGGTCTGTCCCCCGAGAGCACGTTGCCTCTGGCTTTAGGACAGTTTGTTCTTGGTTATGTGAGCTGTCCAGTCCCATGGGAAGAAACTGTTAGTGAGGTCGCGGTCAAGTAGCTGAGACCTGACCTGTGTTAGAGAAGTAGGTCGTGTCCTTGAGCAGTGCTGTTGGGAAGCCTCTGGCGTGGCTGGTGGGTCTGTCAAAGCGCTCTGCTAGCGTCCCATCCTCTGCCAAGAGCTAGGAGCTGGGAACGTGCAACTACAGCTCAGACAAAGGCTCTCTCCCAGGGGCAGACTTTCCCAGTGGGTTAGCAGCTGCCGCAGGAGAGAAGGTGCACCTCAGCCATCAGGTTTATTGCCGAATTAAGTCCTGCTCTTGACCACCTACATCTTGTGGCCACAGGTTGCTCGCCCAAGTGAATGGTGCATTGAGGAAGGGAAATGATGAAGGAGGAAGGAAGGATGGGTAGGATTTTGGGCTCCTCTCCATTTCTCCCCCACCACGATGTTCATCCGACTGCATGAAGGCTGTTGCCTCAAGAACTGTGGTTCTTGAGATGTGACAGAGTGTGTATCGTGGTTGTAGTCCACACTGTCCCTAGCATTTTTGGTTTCTTGGAGTACCACAATGTGCTGCTTTCTGGCAAGTGTTAGGGGCCATGGACCTTGCTGTGCTGGTGGTGTTGCTGGAGGCCTCTGAGCTGACTTGTTCCTGTCCCAGGAAGCACGGCCTTATGGTGGTTTTGCCGTGGGTATCCCGTACGAATGGGACCTCAGGGATCGGTGTTTTGCACTGGGGACCGGGAAGTTCAAGTGATGGCCCTCTGGACCCTCCTTTGTGGTAGATGTGGTGTTTTCTGTTTGTGGCACGTATGTACTCCCAGCCCTCCCCTAGTCTGTGATCTCGGGGGGGGAGGAGGACAGCCAGCTCCTGGAGGTCACCTCACAGGTCTGTGGCTCAGTGGAATTCCAAGCGCAAGTTTCCTGGTTGTCAGGTCCACTGCTGTTTGAGGAGGCCGGAGCCCAGCGAAAGGACTGTCCTCCTCCCAAGGCTGTGGTCCACTTCCTTGCTCTGCCAGGGGCTTCCTGAGCAACCCTCAAGCGAGCAGCAGCGATGCTGTGTCCAAGAAAGGCAGAGGTCTGGCTGGCCGTGTTTCCAGGCTGTTAAAAGAAGTCTGCGCGGCTCCGGTGCCGCTGTAGCAACGGGAGGCCCAGCACCCTGGTTCTGGGCACCCTTTGCAGCGCACACAGCATGTTGCCAGTGGCCGAACGCAGGGCTGCAGGCTGTGGTGGGAGCTGCCTTGTGTTTGGGCGTTCTCTGTCCGGGCCGGTGCAGTTGGGTAGACTGGCTGCAGAGCTTGCTGCCGAGTGGCTCGTAGGTTTGCATTGACTGCTTGTGCTGGCACAGCCTAGTCTGCTGGCGCTGGTGGGGCCTCTTCCTTTCTAGTGGGTTTTGTTTCCACTGTGACTCATGTGGAAAACTTGTATGGAGACGCAATGGGGGTCCCTGAAGTCTCCTCTGTGTGTGGATGGATGTTTGGGAAGCCTTGGAAGCTGCTCTGCGCTGTGCTTTCACTGGTGCTTTGGGGTTTGGTTTGTTTTACTTTGCTGCAAATCTGCCCAGGCGGCCTGGCTTTTGGCTTGGTTAAGCAATTCCTGTGAATGTGTGGGTGTTGTTAATCTTTTGGGTTGGGATGGGGGTCAATGACGAGAACAGCCTCAAGTGCTCCAGACTCCGAAAGCCTTGCTCACCTTACCTCCGATGTACCCTGTGAGATGAAATAATTATCACCAGAGCCCAACAACTTCTAAACCCGGGACACCTGGAGTGCTTTGTGCCCATCACTCTGGCTTTTCTAATTTAGGTGTCTTTCACTTTTGGCATCTAAACTGCCTTCTTTTGTTGCCTTTTCAGTCCATGTAGTCCTCCTGACTCGCTGTGCCCTAGAGCACAAACCTCCCCCTAATTGCCTGTTGGGGTCGGAAGGGTTTCTGCCTTTGTCTGTAGCCTGAGAAAAGCTGATGGCTGAACAGGGGGGTTGTCACATGGGAAGAAAGTGAGCGAAGGTGGGGAAGGACAGAAACCTCGGGGTTTGGGTGGTGGTGGGGGGGAGCAGGGTGATGTCTCATGAGTGGGCTCACATCTGCATGCGGCCAGGTGGCCCGTCGAGTCGCGCTGACAGCGCTGCTGAGCTGGCTGCCCTGTACCATGCCGTGAGGCTGGAGGCATTTGGCCTGTACCCACGTTTCTCTCTGTGCTCCTTTTACTTGCAGGGTAACCTCTTTGATTTTCTGAGGCTGACAGGCTGGCGGGGGTCCAAGGTGCTCTACTTCGGTGACCATCTGTACAGTGACCTTGCGGTAAGTGAAAAGGTCTCTGCTCTCCAGTGACGTGGGAGCGAGCTGGCACAACTGCTGTGGGCCCTGCTCCAAGTGCTCAGGTCTCTGGTGCGCTGTGCTGGGTGCTCTGCAAGCTGTGGCTTTCACAGCACACATAAGCATCCCCACTCTGCTGTCACGCAGAATCAAGCAGTGGAGAAGGGGCTCCTGAAGTACTTTCTGTGGGTAAAGAACATCTGCTGGTCTGTGAACTTGAGCGCGGTTTGTGTGACTCCAGCGTTTCTCCACAGCTGGTGGTGCCCGGGAGATGGGTGTTACTGGCATGACCTGGCATGGGCTGTGGATGCCTGTCCCCTGAGAACCTATAATGGGAACAGCCCACGCTTCGAGGAAACACGGTTGTGTTTGGCTTTCAGTCCTTATGTTGAATTCTTGTCTGTTTTTTCACGCCGACCTCTAGGACCTCATGCTGCGTCACGGCTGGAGGACTGGAGCCATCGTTCCTGAACTGGAGACGGAGATTCGGATCATAAACACAGAGCAGTACATGCACTCCCTGACCTGGCAGCAGGCTCTGACAGGGCTGCTAGAGAGAATGCAGGTAAAGAGCTCCTGTCTGAGCAGGACAGGTAATATGCTGCCTTCTGAATCTGCGTTTTGGGCTTGGCATGGGAACGGGGGGACGTACCACCCTGCCTGTGTTCTCAAAAATGTCTCATCCTCCTCCCGGTGCAGTGGACTCGCGGGTTTGTGAGTTACCATGGAAACTGGGGGGAGCTGAGGTGTGGCCTGCAGGACTGACGGACACAACGAGGTGCTTTCTGCTCTTGTCTTTGCAGATGTATCAGGATGCGGAGTCAAAGCAAGTATTGCTGGAGTGGATGAAGGAACGTCAGGAGATCAGGTGAGCATTGTCCCCCCTCGCTCAGGAGGTCTCTCAGGGGCTCCTAGGCCTGCACTGCATCTGTTTCGTGACCTGTTTTGGGGACAGTGGTGCTGCAGCTGTTGGCCTCTGGTCCTCACTTGTCTGGGGGAAGGGAGCAGCAGCGCATCCTGCAGCCTGGGCTGGTTTGAAAGCAGGGTGGAAAGGGGGAGGTGGTGTCCCCCTGTGTGGGGGGGTTATGGGCTGCCTGCTGCTGCAGCTGCTGGCGCTGCTGGCGGGTCCCTGCCCGTAACAGCTATGGTAACAAGGAAGAGTAAGAGTGCACTGACTACTCATCATAGTCTGACTGCACCGGGACCGGTCTGCAGCGCAGCCTGGGTACGAGGGTGATCCCAAAATGTCTTCTGGGAGTGGGGTGGCCCAGGGCTAAGGGATTGGAGGGGGAAGAATCTGTGACCATCGCCTTTCATCTGCAGAGCACCATCTCTTTTCTCTCAGGTCGCTGACGAAGAACCTGTTCAACCCCCAGTTTGGAAGCATCTTCCGCACCTTCCACAACCCCACGTACTTCTCTCGACGGCTGGTGCGGTTCTCCGACATCTACATGGCCTCCATCAGCTGTCTGCTGAACTATGACGTGAATTTCACCTTCTACCCCCGGCGCACCCCTCTGCAGCACGAGGCTCCACTCTGGATGGATCAGCTCTGCACGGGCTGCATGAAAACCCCCTTCCTGGAGGAGATGGTGCACATCCGCTGAGGGGCCAGGTACTGCCGGCAACAGCACAGCACAAGTCTGTACGCGGGGCCGGGCCACTCGGCCACAGCACCTCTGTCTACCACTAAAGGGCGTCTGACACTTACGTATGTGTGTAGATGGTGTGGTTATTATTTTTTTTTCCCTTCACTTGCTCCATCCCTTTCCCTGAGGTGCTTTGCAGGCTGGACAGAGGATGGGGGCTTGTTCTGGGCCGTGAGTGAGCCGCAGGAGGTCTCTGAAGGAGCAGGTGAGAGGGAGAGCCAGTGCTGGTGGGCGGAGGCTGCTGCTCCCTGCTCTGTGCTCAGAGAGGTGGCTCAGAAATGGAGTCCTGAGCCTCCAGTGCTTGGCTGGCGGGGAGGTGTGACAAGGGGTGGCAGGGCTGTAGCCACCCCGCGATCCTCGTGTGCTACAGTGTGAGGGATTCTGCAGGTGGACAGGGAGGGGACCGGGCTGCTGAGGGGGCAGCCAGTGGCGCAAATCAGTGGGTGCATCATGGATGACAGCACATCAGCAGCGTTATCTACCCAGAACTGGCACCAGCAGCCCTCAGCCTCGTGCCAGACTGGTAGGCTAGATGTTAACTGTGAAGGATGTGCAAGTCCTGGGTGAGAGGTGGGTGGGAGCAGGTCAGAAGGTCTAAAAGGAAGTGTTTGGGGACGTGCCTTTTGAGTGAGATTAGTGCCAGGTGCTGTCAGAATTTTTTGGGTTTGGTGCCACGTGACATCAATATTCTGTCAATTGATGGGATATGGGCTGTGGTGCCTCACAGAGGGATGCGTTCAGCCTTTCTGGGAAGGTGCAGGGCTGTCAGCAGCGGTGGTGGCCTGGGGGCTGCATGCAGTGCTGCTGGGTCACAAAGGGAAGCGTGGCTGTGCAAAGCACGGGGGTGCCGCCTGAGCAGGAGGGAGAAGAGAAAAGGTGATAATAGCGATGCTGGAGCTTATAGGACAGGGGACAAGGGTGATGGCCTGGAGGCCCAGGCAGGTCAGAGCTACATCAGGAAGCAAGGTGCAGAAAGTAGGCTCTTCACCCAGCGTGGGGCCATGCTGGTTTTGGCCAGGCCCTGAGGGACGGGGGACTCTGGGGACGGGGAATGGGCAGTTAGGTGGGTAGAGGTTGAGAGTTTGTGCCACGCTGCTGCTGGCTGGCCCTGGGAAACAGTGTCATGCCATCAGAAGGATGGGGGTGTCGGAAGCTGATGGCTATGGGATGAAGGGCTGTGCCCCTGGAGGTGGGGAGCAGAGTGTGGGCTATGTGGTCCCCAAAGCATGCAGGAGAGGTGATGTGGCTGCTCTCACTGGAGACAGACATGCAGGAGCAGTCAGGGGACATTCGCTCTTGGTGCATGCCCTGGAGATGCTGTTTGCCTTGGTCCTCCTCCCCTCCCTGCTGCCCCATTTGCAGATGGCAACACAGGTGGCAGTGCCAGCTTGCTGGCGGGGACAGGCGGTGTGGAGGGGACAGGTAGGAGAGAAGGGACAGAGAATGGATGAAGGGCATCGAGCAGGCAAGAAAAAGCGCGAGCGACTGCAGCGTGCATGTGCTGGGTTCTGGGGCTGCACTGTGTGGCAGGTAGCGGCTGTCGGGTTACGGGGGCAGGCACAGGTTGCTTGTGAGCAAGTGCTTACGGCTGAGTGCTGTCACTCGGGGGGCAGCCGAGGGAGAGGGACCAGGTCGCTGGGGAGGACCCTGTGCCAGGCAACGCCTCAGAGAAAGGTGCTGAAGTACAGCGCGTGTCAGCAGCCCTCAGTCTCACACACACGCATGTCTCCTCCTGCCCGTTCCTCCCTGCAGTGCGCCAGGCCGGCCCATCAATCTGTCACTCGCGTCTCACGGCTACATGCCAGCCTGTCGCAGACTTTCCACATGCCTTGCTCTCCACTTGGTGGCCCGAACGACCGCTGTTAACATAGCTGCTCTAATCAAATGGCTGTAGTACGTGCATGTGGTGTTTGACGTCTTTGTGCTGTGTGAAAGCTCAATAAAAGTTGTCAGCATGCAGCAGCCAACTGCCGAACCACCCCTCTGCCCGGCGGCCCTCGCTCGCCTCCGCGAGC